CCTTAGTAACTGGGCCTAATTGTATCTTGTGTTTTATTAGACTGGGTGTCCCATCACTAATCAGGGGCATCCTGGTCCTTTCATGTAAATTATGTATTGCTCTTATATTAGTGAACAGGGCCAGCTGATGAACTGTGCCCATTCGAACACATCAGACTCTCCTCTCTTCTTCTTCCACTTCTTCTTCTTCTCAGCTCTCTCAACAGGTTCAGTTCGTTAAACACTCATGAATATGTTGATTTTCTATACTTTAACATGAATATACTTTTATTATGAAAATTATGAATAATTATTAAGGAAATATGGTTATGGTACTATGTTTTCTACATAAAAAATCCATCGCCTAGGCACCCGCCCAGGCAACTAGGCGACAAGGCGCCCCCCTTGTTGCCTAGCCTCGCTTTGGTGCCTTGAAAACTATGACGATGATGGTAGCTTGGATGTAAAAAGTATCATGAACTCTAGACAGATGATGAGGCGGAGATGCTTTGGTTGAGGTTGGATTTCAAGGAATTGCACAATTAAAATTATGGAACTAATTATTAAACCTTCAAAGAATCATTAGAATAAATATAATTGCACAATTAAGGCTAAAAATACCATAGCAAAGAACTATATAAATCAAATAGGAGAAAATTGAGAGACTTTAATGGTGTCTTTCTCTGTCTCCATTTTATCCTTTTAGCCATCTTCACATCATTAAATATGTCAATTACTTGCAATTTTCACTTTTTTTTTCTATTTTTGTTACTATATGTTTTGATTAATTTGAGAATATTCTTTTGTAGTTATATATGCAATTTACTTTTTCTTTTGAATTATAATGACTTAGTAAGTTAATAATATCAAAATAGTAAGCTGATTATTCAATCACCAATTCCCCATGGTTCTTTTAGGAAAGCATTTGTAAAAAATTATAATGATTTTAAAAACACATCGGAAAGTTTGTAATAATATTCTAAAACTTTAAACCTTAAATTTAGCCTATCAATGAAATCTGAAATATCACCAACATATTGAGAAAACAGTCTTTTAGGAAAACAGCTGCTTTGCTGCTTCCTTTCCCTTCTCTCCTTCACACTTAAAGCCCAAGCTTCTTCATCCCTATCCTAAGATTTATGAGTTGCAAGACATTCCTCCTTTTTATTTCCATTTTTTTTGAATACCCCCTATTCAACTTTTTAATTTTATCCTTCACCTCTTTTAATTTCCTGCCCATCACATAACTAGACAACCCCTCAAAATGCATGGAGCTCCACGGATTTTCCATCAAACCCGTAATAAAAAAATCCACATCAAGCCACATGCATTCAAATCTGAATGGGGAGGGCTTCAATACCCTACTACCACAGCTTAGCATAATTGATATATGGTTAGAAACGGCAAAGGAGGGCTTCCTGAATCAACTTAGGATATCTGTCTTCCCATTCACCTGCTTAGTTGCAATATTTTAAAATGTATGAGGTATGATGCAAGGTTGCAGGGTCTTCTGATGCATGACGTGTAAGTAGTGTGATCACTGATCAGAAATAGGAAACTGGCACACAAACATCACCATTTAACCATCTGTAGTTGAACATTATGTCTTGTTGTGGTAAAGTATGGCCAGCCAGGCATGCCTAATGCTGCAACCAAGGGATTTATGTAGATGGAAAGGCAAATTAAAAGGACCAGTAGACCAGCATGACCACCCCTTATTTCCTTAGCCCAACCAAAAGAAAAGAGGTAGAAAATCCTAATTGTAGGACTATAGAGCACCTAACAACAACCACCGCCCTTGCTAGCCCCCTAAAAAAGTTATTGGACACCTCTATGCACATATTGGAACTAAATATTGAGGAATATAGCCAATGGAGATTACTCTATCACCAAGGAAATTCACCAAGATCTTTCTATGTGTTGTTCCATGGCTACATTGCATGACAAGATTCAGCTTTGTGAAATTTACTTCTGTCCTGTGCTTCATGTTGGATCATTACATCAGTATCTGAAATGTAAAGTCCTGAATTGGATTGTCTTTTCATAAATTTTCTGTACTTGTAAAAAGTATATGATTCATGGATTTGGTACATAAAATGGTTACCTTTGGTTCTTGGCTGATCTTTGTACCGTTTGGATTTGTTTGTACCTTTCTTTTGTTTGGATTTCTTGGTCAAATGGGTTGCAATTGATTTTGACTGAGGTTTGATTCTGTACTGACAAAACATTCTTCCATTTTTGTTTTTGCCTGGTTTTACCCATCCCATTTGGTTTTTCTGCTAGATCTTGATAGAGTTTTATTCACGTCAACTGATTTGAATTTTAAGTAGGAGCTTTAAAGTTTAAATTTTAAACTAAATGGTTCAATTAGTCATGAGTTCTAGGGGTTTTAGATATTTAAATTCCAAGTAGTTGGGCTGTCAGTTTGGTTGTTAATTAGCAGTTACAGAAATCCATCTCTATGGTAGTTGAATTTCTGAACAAATTCCCTTATTTCTTATTAGATTTTAATCAAGGAAACCCTTGGTTCCTATTTCTTTATTTTTGCTTTTAGTAGATATTATGATATCTATCAACCTTGGACAGTATGATGATTCTATCTACCATGGACAGGTATCTGTGCACTGTATGAGAGGAAGCTTAAGGAACTCAATCCAGCCATCAGAAACATTACTTATGACATTGCTGATCTCTACAATTTCATTGATGGGCTTGCAGACCTGAGTGCATTAATGTATGTCTGACAACTCTGACCTACTTTTCAATATAATTCCCAACTAACAATCTTTTATTATTATATTATTTTTTGCATCTGTTTTTTGGGAAAGTCTTAAGGTTTGATTAAGGGAAATAGCTTGAGCATATATACTGCTGATATGTGAGTTGGCAGCACATCAAAGTAAGGTCCTACCATTAAATGAATCATACCGGGATATGATCATTTATTATATCTTGTGTCAGAAACTTGGTTATATGGAGTGTGGCTACTGTCATAGCCTTGGCATTCTGTCGGATGGTTTCTCTCTTTCTTTTCTTTCTTTTCTTTGTGTGTTTGTGTATGTTTGGGAGGGGAGGATCTATTGTGCATTCCAAGAGAATTAACTTGTAATGTAGGAGTGGATTGAAACCACCCCAAGGAGCACACCTGACTATTTTCAATCAGTTTTGGGAAGACCTAAACACAATTGGGTTGCATTTGGTTGTAAACTGGATTAACGAGTTAGGTATCTTAGTTTTATCTTTATTTTCTATTTCACAAATGGAAAGGTAATTCCTTTTCTGGACTAGTGTTAGAAAATAAATATCAGCATTTGGCTCCTAGCCCAGTCAAATCTGGCCATACTTAGGGCTAGATTGGATGGTATTCGAGTCATGGTGGCTGGCCTATGCTGCTTAATCCTGTCCATTGTACTTTTTGGCTTTGTCCTTGGATCAGCGTTATCTGCCCTGGTACATTTCCAACCCTACTCATAGAATCGAGGTAATAGATCTGGTACCTTGTCTGGAAAAAAAGTATGGAAACTGATGCTTATGCTACTTGGTTTGGAACTGCAGCTATGACCACTCAATTCAGGCTTACCTGCCATACGATCGACAGTGGATTAAACAGCGAACCTTTCAGCACCTCAAGAAATTGGCAATACATTGAAATAATGCGTTTGTTTTGACTACTAATTAATTAATACCTGGATCTACAAACTGGGTCAAACAGAAAGGAAAGGAGAAAACCAATTATAGAATTGGAGTTTTGGTTTGCTTGGATATTCAGTCATGATATTATGGGAATATGGATTATATGGATCAATTCCTCCCACCTGCACATATATTGGACACTGATGGTCATCTAGTTTGGTGAGGTGGATGGTGGCACAACCACCTTGATTGTGTGATTAGTGTATTTTGTAGCCATGGTACTTGTTTAATGCACGAAACTTGCATTTTTTCCTTTCAAGGTATTTCAAGACATGTTTCTAAGACTATATTAATGGCTTGGGTTCATGAATGTTGTCGAACATGCTTAACCTCAAAGTTTGATGTTGGAAACTGTTTATTATATTTATTAGAGTGGTTACATGATGGACATGAGCTCAATTTGCAAACTTAATCAGCTGGATCTGTTCCCATATCATGGATGATGGTTAGAATTCTATTTTCTATGGGTGGTGTTACAACTTAAAATTTGTAACCTCAATAGAGTTCAGCCAGTCAAATTAACCGTCTTTCCATCAGTGGTAGCTGACCAGCTGCTACCTAGTTCTCATTGTAGATTCATGTTGTCATTGGACAGAACCTTCATAAAAAATCCAACAATAGAGTCTCCATATGGATTATTTGCTATGTATCCTCATGGTTTAAATTGATTTGATAATTTTTCCTAGGAACTAATTCAACATTGATTTGGACTGATGGACAGATATAATTGGTGCGATTGATTCTGACTGTTTTACCAAGGTGGCCAGGTTCCCTGTTTTTATTAGATTAAATACCACCTAATTCTGAAGCTAGATTTTACAAAAATGTTAATAGGAAAATGAAAATTGCAATTTAGTTGTTTTGCTTTTTATTTCAGTGATCGGTAGTTGGAACTAAATCATCCTGGACCTGAAGTTTCCAGGGGTCTCCATGATATCGATCTCCTCCCGTCGTTGGGACGAGGTCGGCTTCTTCCCTCGAGCTATAGTGCTAGGCACGGCTCTCAGAAGAAAAATAAACAAAGATAGTTTTGTTGGAAGATAAATCTCTCATACCCATTCGATTGTGGTTGGATACATATATAGAGCTCAGGCTTGATGGCCGTTACAACCGAAATGGAAAAGACAAAATAAAAAGGCTAATGATTGTTAATGATGCGCAGGGAATATTTTTGCTGTAACAAACTCTGCAATTCTGCTACTCTCCACTAGCTGTCCTAGAGCAAAAGACCACATTAGCCTCTGCATGTCAATGTGTCGTAACACTCTCTCCCCCTTTGAAAGCAGCTTTGTCCTCAAGGCTAGACTGAGGAAATTTCTGTTGCAGTTCCGTGAGTATTTCCCAAGTCGAATATATTGCCGGGGTTCTTTGCCATTGAACCAGTACCTCTGTTATTGCCTTGTTGCCTTGTCGTTTCAATCTTCTGTCAATAATTGCAGCTGGCTGGAGTTGGAGTGTCTCGTCAGCCGTTAGTGGTAGAAGAGTGGCTTGGGCATGAGAGCTGTCTCCAACCTTGGCCTTTAACCAAGACACATGGAAAATAGGATGTAAACGGAAGCCTTCTGGTAACACTAGGCAATATGCAACTGGACCAATTTTCTCTGTTATTTTGAATGGTCCGTAAAAACGAGCTGCTAGCTTTTGAGACTTACGAACTGCCACTGTGCTTTGCCGATAAGGTTGCAGCCTCAAGTATACCCAATCTCCGATGTTAAAATTCCTTTCTGTTCTCTTTCGATTTTCCATTTTCTTCATTTTGTCTTGGGCAAAGAGTAAATTCTATTTAAGTTTTTGCAGAGCCCTTTCCCTTTCCTGTAATTCAGCCTCCACTGCTGGTGCTTGAGTTGTTCCTGGGATGTAGGAGATCAAGTTTGGTGGGGGATATCCGTATAGTGCCTGAAAAGGGGTGGTTTTGGTGGAAGAATGGAAAGTGGTGTTATACCACCATTCTGCTAAAGGCAACCTTCTACTCCAATTCTGTGGTTGTTCACTGGTGTAGCATCTAAGGAGGTTTCCAAAGTCCTATTAAGGACCTCTGTCTGCCCATCTGTCTGAGGGTGGTATGAAGAGCTCATATGTAGCTGTGTTCCCTGAAGTTTGAAAATTTCTCTCCAAAAGTTGCTGGTGAACGGAGGGTCTCGATCACTTACAATTGTCTTGGGCATTCCATGCAATCTGAAAATTTCTTGGATGAATACCTTGGCCAGGTCAGAAGTAGAGAATGGGTGGGTTAAGGCAATGAAGTGTGCAAACTTAGTTAATCGGTCCACAACTACCCAAATGGTAGTTTTCCTAATGGAAGAGGGTAAGCCTTCAATGAAATCCATTGAGAGTTCAGACCATGCTTGTTCTGGAATGGGTAGAGGTTGTAGCAGTCCGGGGCATGGTGGGTTTTTTACTTTGTTTCTCTGGCAGATTTCACACTCCTTTACCCAATATTTAACTTCAGCTTGATAGCCATTCCAATAACAAATCTTCCTTAATCTTTGTAGGGTGTTGTAGTACCCTGAATGTCTTCCCCCTGGGTCTGAGTGGGCTTCCTCAAAAAGTCTCATTCTAAATATTGAATTTGGACTAATTACTAGCTTCCCCCTTCCAAAGCAGCTCATTTTTAATTGAGTATTTTCCTATGGGCTCCTTGGCTACGTCTGATATCATCTTCTGCTATCTCTCTCTTGAGCTCTTCAATCCAGCTTGGAGCTAGAGCAGATATGGCCATTACTTCCCTTGCTTCTTTGCGCGATAGAGCATCTGCAACTGAAATGTTTGGCCCTTTTCTGTAGAAAACTTCATAATCAAAACCCAGAAGTTTGCTAATAAGTCTTTATTGGTTTGGAGTTGTAATCTTTTGCTCTAAAATATGCTTTAAACTCCTGTGGTCTGTCAAAATTTTAAACCTTTGACCCAGGAGATAGGACCTCCACTTTTGCACTACTATCACTACTTCTAGCAATTCTTGATCATATGTTGACAAGGATTGGTACTTTCCTTGTAGTGCCTTGCTGAAGAAGGCTATTGGACGCCCTTGCTGAGAGAGAACAACTCCTATTCCAATTCCACTAGCATCGGTCTCCACTATAAATGGTTCTTGATAGTTGGGGAGAGCTAGTACTGGTTTCGTGGTCACGATTCTCTTGAGTTTCCTGAAAGCTTCCTCGGCTTCGTCACTCCATCTCCATCCTCCCTTTTTAAGCAGTTGTGTTAGTGGTTTGGTTAGGATGCCATAATTCTGGATAAATCTTCTGTAGTAACCAGTGAGACCTAGGAAACCTCTAAGGCCTTTAACTCCCTTGGGTGTGGGCCAGTGAAGAACATCTTCAATCTTAGCTGGGTCTACTTCTGCCCCCAATGGTGATATTATGTGGCCTAGATACTTGATCCTTTCAACCCCGAACTGACATTTGCTTCTTCTTGCATGTAGTTGGTGTTGTTTGAGAGCTTCCAATATCTTCTTCTAGTGTTCAACATGGTCCTCTCGAGATTTACTATAAATTAAGATATCATAAAAAAACACCAACACATATTTTCTAAGAAAATCTCTAAAGATGGAATTCATAAGAGATTGGAAGGTTGAGGGGGCATTAGACAGCCCAAAGGGCATAACCAAGTACTCGTAATGGCCTTCGTGTGTGCGGAAGGTTGTCTTCGGAACATCCTCGGTTTTGACTCTGATTTGATGATAACCCGACCTCAGGTCCATCTTTGAAAAAATTACAGTTCTTTGCAGTTCATCCAAGAGTTTGTCTACTACAGGCATTGGGAATTTGTTCTTCACGGTCACTTGGTTCAGGGCTCTGTAACCTACACACATTCTCCACCCACCATCATTCTTCCTGACCAAAAGAATAGGGGATGAAAAAGGACTAGTACTTGGCCGTATCACCCCTTCCTTCAGCAACTCCTTTACAATATGCTCAATCTCTCTCTCTCTCTCTTTTTTTTTTTTTTTTGTAATAGGGGTATCTATAAGGTCTGACGCTTATGGGCTTGTTATCTGATGGTGCGCAATCTGGCCGGTCCTAGCTGTCAACGACATTGCCTCTGACTGGAGCAACAGGGAGCCTGAAACGGAGAAGATGAGGAATCTCCAGGGAGGAACCCGGTGAGATTGCTCTGAAGCTCAAGTTAGTATTCTCTCAAAGGCAAGATAAAACCAGATGGCGCAAAGTTCACATACCTTCTTCTCGGGGGGAAGGGAGCCTTTTATAACCACTTCGCGCACTCACTCCTATGCTTCGGTCAAGTCGGGTATGATTACCCCTGCACTTCTGCCAGTTCGGGTGTCATCACCTCTGCTGGGGCAGAACCGCCACTGCTCTCTTTGTCGAAGCCGTCTCTGTAACTGGAGATGGTGGTGGCAGGTGGCTGTTGAAGTGCGACTGTCAAGCGTCAGATCCCAAGTCAGTCAGGTGTGCCGCCTCAAGATACGGACTCCTTTGGTGTAAGGTACGGTTGTTCAGTTCGGCGTCCTGGAGGCGAAGTGTTGGAGTGGTGTCCAAGGTGAAGTCTTGAGCTTGGATGGAGGTGTGGCCCGAACTGCCATGGGGCGGGTCAGTTTGGGTTGTTTCGTAAGGCTCGGGGTCTAAGAGTGAGCTCGGGTTCCTTGCGGGGAGTTCGAGCTCTTTGTAGGGAGTTCGGGCTCCTTGTAGGGAGTTCGGGCTCCTTGTAGGGAGTTCGGACAGCTGGTTCCTCCTTTCGGAGCTTGCGCCTTGGGCGTGTTGTTGTCCTGAGCTGTTGCCTTTGCCACGTGTTGAGTGGTTACGAGGTCGGGCCAAATCTTCCTTTGTCAATTGCCCCCCACTCCTCGCGCAAAGGGGCTTGCCCTGGCGCGTGGAGTTCGCGAGGTGGCAGGTGGATTTGACCCGTACTTTGGACTGGTTTGACCATCAGCACGAAGTGCGCGTCCGCCAGGATTTCCTCGAGCGCCAAAAAACGCGCCAATCCGTCTACAAATGCTGACAGATGTGACAGCGTGCGCTTATTTCAAAATTTAAAAAAGTGCACCGCTGGGAGGCACGACAGTGGGCATCTTTTCAAATTTGAAAAAACACGCCGCTGCCACCTTAAATACGAGGCGACGTGTGCCGACGCCCTTTCAGTTTCAAAAAGACGTGCGGCCAGTCACGTCTCGGTCTTAGGAGACGTGCGGCCGGTCACGTCTCGGTCTCAGGAAACGTGCGGTCAGCGTGATTGCGGGCCGTTGGATTTGCTTTGATCAGAACCGTTGAATTTTGGTTACTATGGGTATAAATAGTGGGGGACCCCACTCGCTTTGTCATTCTCCTGCATTTTGCTTCTTGAGCTCGCGACCAAGTCTTTAGCTCGCGTTCAAGCCTTTAGCTCGCGTTCAAGTTCCCATAGTCCGTTTGCTTTTTTTTTTTTTT